GATGTCGATGGAGGAGGTGCTGCCATACTCTCTGAACAGGTTCCCCATCCCACCTGCATTGCGAACCTCCACCTAAAAGAAAAACAGGGTTGGAAGCTTATGGTGAGATTTTCAGACAAGAAAAAAAGTGTGTTTAGAGGAAGTTTATCTCTTGACCACAAAAATTCCCATGTTGCTCTGTGTAAGTTATAATAAAATAAAACATCTACACAGCAAACTGGAGGAAAGCAGGAACCATGCTGATAAGAATGAGGTTTTTCAACTGCTCTGAGAATATGAGTCAAAGCTGGTGGTCTCACTGATGTAATGTTGTTGGTTAGCTCAGGCATTAGCCTCAGGCATGTTGTTGCCAGCTGTGTCAAAGTGAGCTCTTTGGGCAGTAAGTAATATTATAATTTACAAGGCTATTTTCAGGGTCCTCTTCTGTAATTTCTGCAGTGAAACATCTGTCACACTTTGTCAATTCCCAAACTAAATACGCTGCTCCATCTGTATGGGAAAACGACTAATAGTTAGAGACCCCAGTCAAATAGCTTACCCATTAGAGACACCAGCAGTACATTGTGATGTAAAGTTGTAAAATAAATTTGCAACTGATTTTTTTTGCAGTTTGTCTAAATGATTATAATCATGTTGTGGATTTTGAAAATCCTCTACACTTTCCACAAAGACAACACAAAATGAGACTTGAACCTGAAATTGACAAAACTCTAGCTTATCATGACTTATCAATCCTTCTGTATATATTAGAGAATTGCTGTTTGTTTTTATTCAAATTGTTCTTATCCAATTCTAATCAAGCCTACATACATATACTATATAACACATCTCCCATAATGCATGTTGATTTTTGACCTGTCTCTCCACATCCTTGCAGAATCACTGGACAGTTCAATAAGCGTTTATCCTGCTTGGGGTGAAACTTTACGGGCAATTTGTACCCCCACCGTGACAGACTCTGACACCCCTGCTTTATTACTTTTCTACCAAACTACAGGTGTGAAGACGACTTGGGTGACTCACCTCATTCTCATCCTGTTCACTCAGCGTCACTTCACTGTTGGAGCGCTGTCTCAACGGCGGGAATACTCTGAGGCTCAGGGGTGAACCTCTCTCGCCGCCAAAACCTGCCACTCTGAACTCGACCTCCCTCGATCGTCGTCGCGGCAACATTGCAAG